AACCAAACTATCAGCCTTTAAAGAAAGAAAAAATAGAGGAATCTTTCTGTCTGCTTCCGTAGTAACACATATAAAAGCCCAAATGGCGCCCCACAAATCAAGCAAACAAACCGGAAACCAGCGGCTAATGAAAGCTGGTCGATGTAACTAAGCGCCATCAGGGTAACTTATAATTTATTCAGCCTTCATTGGTAGCCACTTTTCGGCTAAAGTTTGGAGTATCACTTCATCAAGGTGTCTGCCAAGAAAAAAATTTGTGATTTCAAACATGGGACTACGACAGAAATGGTCCACAGTCACATTTAATTGTTTTTATGATAACACATACAGCAACTATTTTACCGAACTGAAATAAGTGAACAACATACTACTCTGCATTAACCTTTTAAAGTTAAAACGACAAGAAGAAGCTTAGTTTTAATCTTATCCAATAACTTTCTTCAGAGGCCTTCATTAATTGGCAGAACTAACTGGCATTCGCTTTTATTGATGCAATTAGCCTTGTTGGCCCAGTAACATGAGTAAAAAAGGTAGTTTCCACTCAAAGTAAGATTTAAAAAGCTAATCGTCATGCACAAAAAAAGACTGATAACCCTGCTCACCATTTTGAGATTTATTCCAACACTTCTTCGCTGCCTATTACAATCTGTCTAGTTAAAGGTAGTATCTCGCTGTTGCCCGCAATGAGTCTTCTTGGGAAGTTACGAATCACTATATACGCTAAATAATTGCATTTCCTGTACTGAACCGACATCACAAGACAGATAACATGTAAAAGCTTAATCTACGTTTATAAGCTAAGTTCTCTTTCAGTCTCTTCCCTTTAAGTGTAGATCCTAGATATTAGGCTTGCGTTTCGCAAAAAAAAGAGGACCAGAAATACTGTTAATCTTTCAGTACGTAGAGGTTATGATTGCGCACAGGATTTTTAGAAACACGTATTTAAATGAAACTCGTTACCATCTAGTATCAAAGCAATTGATTCATTCATTACTTTTAAAACCCGCCTAACTACTAATGACTTATAGTCCTCCTGTGTACTTTTACCTATCTACAACAGATTGTAAACTCTCGCTATTTAACTATCATACTTTGACATGATTTTAGTGTATGTTATGTGGAGTTGGGGGCTACATTACAATTGGGGTCCAACTTCTGTTTTTGTTTTGTTTTGAATTTTTTTTTTTCATCCCGTCATACCACATTTTTTATACCGATTGATTTTAATCTAGTTATATTTTTACGCGATGGATTCACAAGTTAAAATAAGCTAAGTGCTCTCTTAATTCGCCTTTTTGACGGTAATATCTGATACTACATTTTAGTGTGATCGTGTTCCGCCCAGAAACTTAAAGCCACTATAATGTCAATGTGAGCATTTTGCAGTAAGGTCGTGCAGTGCAATATCACGAGAATATTTGCGACCAATCTATGCGTTACAAACCACACTTGCATCCTCATGATGGCCACAGTTATGGCTTCCCCAGCCACGGAACCGACAATGAGACAACACTGTCTCTCCTCCTTGGCAGTTGACATCATCCATCCAGATTGGACCAGACCCCTGACCGTAAAAACGAAA